GTCAGTAGGGTGTTGGTGGGTTGTCAGTAGGGTGTTGGTAGGTTGTCAGTAGGGTGTTGGTGGGTTGTCAGTAGGGTGTTGGTAGGTTGTCAGTATGGGTTGTCAGTAGGGTGCTGGTTGGTATATCAGTAGGGTGTTATAATCTGGTAACAATTAATTTGCAATTAACTGAATGTTCATATTTGTGACATTAAAGGAGCTTTCTGTTACTGACAAGCTAAACTGTGCTTTAACAGCCTTCAAGATTCTCTCTGGACAAGGTTTGTAATCAATTTATTATCAACTTATTAATTCCTTTGACATTCTTGTAACACTTGTTAACTTTTTTGTTTGCAGGTGAAGCACTGAATATTGATCCCAGAGGATTCTATTGTACACTTTATAAAACTCTTGTACAGCTAGATGCAGGTATTTTTTTACCACTTTCAGATCTCTTTCAAGTTGTTCAGCCAATAAGAAAATAAAGAACTTTTTTATCATGAGATTTGTTGTCTCTTTTTGACTGAAGGTAGGGATACACCAAGAAATTTTAAAATGGTTTTTTAAATGAAAGTTTTTTGAAATGAAACTGTTTGCATTCTTTAGGTGTGAATAATGCAGATGTTTTAACTGGTCTAAAGTGTTTGGATGTTATGATGAAGAAAAGAACAAAACAGGTATAATGTCTACCAGCTAATGAACAGCTWTTATTTCATATCCAGAACTAAAAATAAAAGCTGGTCAATGGTCAGTGCCTGGCCAAAATTGGCACTTGGTACAGTCCAGCACTTCTTAGGCTGGTTCTCTTGATTGATCACATTTATCAGTCCAAATGTGGCCAGTTGTCAGTAGCCCTTCATATTATTTAATRGCAGCCCAAACTTTAAGATTGTACTCATTTTTAAATATATTTGGTTATTCTAATATTAATGTTTTTAATTCCAGATACCTATTCAAAGAGTTTCTGCTTTTGCAAAGCGTCTGTCCACAACCAGTTTACATGTGATGCCCAATAGTRCACTTGCTCTTTTAGCATTTGTCAGGATATTCTTACAGGTAAATAAATAGACAGCCTAGTAATAATATCTTTACTTTGTATAATRTTTCCCAACTTCTTGGACCAATTATTTAATTTAGGACCAAACAAAGTCAGAGTGATTTAAAAAAAGTGAAATAACTGTCTAGTCCAGTCCCTTGCTAAAATTATACAGTCATTTAWCTAATAGCCTAATTTTCTGTTTAACCGTTTAAATTTTGTGTGCAATAATTATTATTAACGTCGGATTTTAGTGTTAATTTTCATTATGAATAATTATTATATGTTGCAAAATAAAGATTAGTTGATTGATTGATCATTTGATTGATTGATTGTTTGGTTGATTGATCATTCGATTGATTGATTGATTGATACTTTTTCAGCTGCATCCTCGATGTCAAAACTTGTTGGACAGTGAAACAATGGGAACAGGTGCATTCAGACCTGACTTAGATGACCCAGAGCTGTCTAACACAGACAGCACTACATCATGGGAGCTGTCAAGTTTAACAAGCAGACATTACCACCCTACTGTCAGAATGCTAGCGGGACATGTAGTACAGGGTTCATCAAGCAAAGGGGTTGGTTCTACTTTAACACGAAAGTAAGTTGAAAAATAAGTTGGAACAAAACTAAAATGCAAAACCAGTCTTAGGGTATTCTCATGCTTGAGTGCTTTTCAGTTAACATACACACTGTAGTTGGTTGTTAAGTAGAATTGGAACCAAGCGTGGTGTAGTTGTATTGCACTTGTCTTTCACCTCTTGGGTCTCTTCTTTAATTCAAGGGTTTTCTCCAGATTTCTCCACATAAAACCTTCTAAGTTAGATTCTAATTCAAATTGTGAGTTAGCCATGCCACAGCTTTAATCAGCCCAGAGGTTGTTCCAGGATATTGATAAAGTTTTAAGTCTTTTTATTGACACAGTCGTTTATATTRAAGGAAAAATTTTGAACCATAACCATAAAATTTCAGGGTCATTTACGGTATCAGTTTAAAGTATTTTAAGTAGATCTAATTTCTTAATTCATGTTTTCTAGGCAACCAGAGGAACTATTCAAAGCCTTTGATTGTTCAGAAATGAAACTGAATCCAGACATGTCAGACATCACTATGGCAACCAAACATGCAAACAAGAAGACAAAAATGATTTTCAATGATGATAACTGGAAAGATTCATGTATTGAGGTAGCTGTTAAAAATACTACAGACTTTGTGGTTAAGACTGAACAACAAGTTCAATTCAAATTTTCATCTCTAGACAAGAGGTAACTTTATCATGTTTGATAATATACTTCACAAGTTTGTATATTTTAATAAAACAAAGCTATTCAACTTTTATTGCTCAGTGCRTTGTATATTATATTTTTATTTATGATTACTTAAATATTCACTGCYGTCCTATTGATAAAAACAATCCCAGATTGTGTAGTTCCAGGAAATATCCATTTCCACCCATGGAGGAAAGTGGAAATTCTGGAAGAAAATTGGAAGTTCCTGGTGGAAGGGGGGTATACTTTTACAATTCCCTCCTTGTTAGGGGCATTTTCTGGAACTACACATTATAACTTTTATGGATTCAAGATAAGGACCAGCTGGACTTGTGTTGGCCTGGGATTTTGATCTATTCCTTGTCTGCTCAGTAATACTAAAGCTCAAGGACAGGAACAACTAACATACTTTAAGACGCCACATCTTTGCTTTTATTCTGTGGAAAATCAAAATAATTCTCATAGGCATGTTAGATAATACATTTATATTTCGATACACTGAGTAAAGATCAAAATTTCAAAACTATAGTTTATATTAAGCAAAGTTTATTTAAAACTGATTTATACAGGAAGGTATTTAATGACTGGTCTACGTAAGTAAGGAAAGGGGTGCCCAGAATATTTCATATTCATGGTAAGAAAGGATAGTCCATAGTTTTCAACCACTTTTAAGTGAACTCTTAAAACTGAACTCTTTCCAACTCCGGCCCCCTCCCTCTCCCTCGTGATGAGTCCTGGCTATCAATAAGAGATTTTCAATTGTGCATATTAGTGATTTCACATTTCAGACCATGCGTCATTCTCTTGAAAATATGGTTCTTTGAGTTATATAACCATTAAAGAAAGAAATAATACTCAAGGTGATGATGCATGGTCTGAAATGATAAAGCATGCTCAAGGAATGAGATCTATTGATATACATATTTTTGAATATGCAATCATTAATACATAATCCTAGACTTTCCTTAAAACAATTTTATGTTTTTGTTCAAACGATAATATAGCATATAAACAGCAAAATACTACTGAGAATAATAATTAAAGTTTATACAATTTTTGTACAGTACTACACRACAATTAGAGATTTTTGATACAGTCAAGGAATGCCGCCCACATTTTCTTTATTAATGGCATGTTTCTTTATCAGTGGCACCAAAATGTCTTGAAATAAATGCCAAAATTTTAGGGCAATTTTTTAATATCTAATTACATTTAGTTATTCAGATCACCTGGAATATTCAATTTCTATAGTAGTTTTATAATAGTTTTTTAAGAATATCAGTCGAATCCTTGCCAGTCACTATCATCTCTCTCCTCATCTTTTTCTATTGCTATGCATTTTATATTTTCTTTCAGCATTGGGGTGCCTTTTTTAGGACCTAGAACTCTTGCTTTAAGAGTAATGTGGTATTCCTCCCCTTTGGCTTCATTCTTTAGACTGAACTTGTCTGTTAATAATCCTTCTTTGTGGCYGTCTAATTGCAAYGTGACTTCCTGGCCTTTGCCRTCATCTGACAATAAAAACCAGAAGWTAGAGTGATTTAAGGCCCTGTTACATGTTGAAATTTTTAGCTGAAACTAGTGTGCAAGGGTGTTGTGAGACAAGTTTCATGGGGGTGTTACACAGCACAATTTCCCTCCCACACAAAAGCCAAATGCTCAACCAACTGAGCCAACTCKTTGGGGGCCTAACCATTTACAGATGTAATAATACAATAACAAAGGTAACACCTTCTCTTCAGTTAATTTTTAAGACCCTGAGTGTTGAAGATGTATTCCTGAACATCAACGTCATCAAGGGTAGTYAACCTCCCCCTGCAGTCCACCCTTAACATTCATTTGATAGGTGTGTTACACCCCCTGAGTTCAAAGGGATTCCAGCAGACTCTTAAACAACTTACCAAGTGATTTTACTTCACAAATGCAAAGAAAAGGACTCTTAGTGCTATGAGTAACTATGGCATTTTCAGCTACCGGTAGAACACATTGTATTTCATATTTGTGTTTGTATTGTAGAAACCCAAGGTGAACYTCCACTCCTGATTTGCCCCTTTTGCTAACTTGGATTTCAGTATTTAAACCAACATTATCTGGAAAATGTACATGGTGGTCATGGTGGGCTGTGGAAAGAGACAACATCAATTTAACAAATTCCATAACACAAAAAATTATAGGAAATTTGTTTTATACTACAAAATAAAAAGCAAAAAGTCTGAAAGAAAAACAGTTTCTAGTGCTCTCTTGCTCAGTGTGCGAGCGATTTGTAATCTGTTGACACAATTTGCTGATATATCTTCTTATTTACCATGGCTCTAGACCAATCAGAAAGTGAGAAAAATTACATTGGTAAGGAGGAGGATATTATAATTGAAAATAAACATACAAACTAATAAATAAATAAATCATATGAAAAAAGTAACCTGATTAAATATTAGATATTAGAGTGAAGGCATACCATTTATCCGTGAAATAAAACATATTATCAAACTCATTAATAATTCATGAGGAAAACAACAGAAAATCACGACCGTGAAGAGTGTTGTAAATCTGATACAAAACTGTGTTCATTTGCATAAACTTTAAGATGGATTTTCTTTGCCAAATTCACTTTAATTTTGAAAATTTTAGTGAAACACAAAGGAACTAAYCTAGACKTTTGATAAGTCAWATACAGTATTCRTGTCYGTGTTGTATCAGATATACAATCACTCGGCTACGCCTYRTGGTTGTATATCTGATACAACACGGCCACTCATACTGTATATATTACCTAGTCAACGTGTGATAGTCAAATAGACACAAAAGATAACAATGGAATTAGGTTTAGTGACTTAACTATAATAAAACAGGAAACTTTAAGGCTTGTGAATTTCTTGTACATTAATTCTGTTAACATAAATTTAGCAAATGAGAGAATAAATAAATGCAAGCATATAAACATATTTAATCAAATATTATTGTATTTAAGACCCTGAGTGGTCCAGCCGGAACTCAAACCACGACCTCACACTAAAGTCCAACTGAGCCTACTGGTTGGTGTTCTAACCATTTACAGATGAAATAAGAAACCTACTACCCTGTGAGCAGAGTCTCCTTTTACCCCTGTTAGCAGGGTAGAAACTACCAAATTGTATAATTAGTCGAATATCTATTTCATGGGTTTAGTGACTTCACTTAAGAAGAAACTTTGGCTTGGGAATTTCTTGTACATTAATTCTTTATTAATATAAATTTAGCAAATGAAAGAAAGAGAGAATAAATAAATGCAAGCATATAAACACATTTAATCAAATATTAACTAATYATCTCCCTAAATTTCTCATTATCGCTCTCCCCAATAAATATAAAATATTAACACACACACATATAAATGTATATAATATATAGCCCAAAACCAAAAGCCACATACTAAAAATCCATGCACATACATTCAAGATATGATATGCAAATTAAGTGAATTCTGTTGTCAGATCAATAAATTACTTAATTATTAATTACTTGGGGAAAAAAACAAAATTCAAATTGTGCGGGTACTTGGATATTTTCTTGATTTAATCAGCCTTTAACTTGGTGAGAGTAGGTTGTCATTTTGAATACAAAATTTATGATAACAATATAATAACTTTGCTGACAGAAATTGATTTGGATGAGTGAAAACTTCAAGGTTTTTTTGAATATATTATTACACAATGCTTGAAAAACTAATATCTAGGAGCCAAATTAAAAATATGTGTTCAAAGAACATTCATTTTTAATTCAATATTTGTATAATTTTGAAAATTACACAATATTTGGATGTTTGTCTAACTACCTATTCATACATGTATGAATTATAACTACRAGGCTGTAGCCACCACTTGGACAATGGTCCAGTTTTAAAAAAAAGATGGTCCTGTTTTTTTATTCACTCGTGTAATAAACATTTTTACGAGGGGGGAAATAGTTCTGAAGGTGAAAAGTGGTGCGGTTAAAACTTATCCTTGTACTCCTGGTGCCTATGTGAACTAGGTGAATATCTTTTTCCCATCGTGAACTAGGTGAATATCTTGGAAAGAGCATTTATTTAAGCCTTTAGACTAGCTATAAACACATAACAGCTAAATATGGCTGCATAATTTTGACAAAACTTAACTTAACTTGATAGAAATGATAAGTGGAARAATAGGAAAGTGAAGGGTAATAATTTTGATTCATAACTATGGATCTTCTTCAGTGTGTTGTTAGTATAGGAGCATGTGAATTTAATTACAATTTTTCATTGACAGGTTTTTCGGGAGAGGGCCACCATTTCTTGCCACTATTTTTGACAAAAATAGTGCCCCCCCTCTCATTAAATACTGACGAGCCCCTTGGAACTTTTATTAGTATCCAGAGGAGTCGTTTATGATTGGAATATATGTACAGTAGTACAAAAAGAAACGAAGTAATGCGAACAACTTTAATGTTACAACTTTACTATTTTATTGACAGCTTTGGTTTTCAAACGGCTGTACGTTTAATGAAATATCCGGGCTTGTCCGACAACTCAAATAGCCATTTAAAAAATACGATTACTTTTCAAATCTCCTAGCGATTAAACAATGTTCAACAGGAAATGTGTTCTCTCTTAATGCTAAAAGTTCAAGGATTAATTTTCAAGGGACTTGTTTTGTCAAGTCTTAAAATCGGGCTATTTTCGTACTTCCTACAAAACTTTATAAGGGCCATATGCTAGTATGAAGCGTGCAAAACTTAAATTAATTAGAACCAAATATTTAAATCAGGATTCCTTCGGCATCAATTATTTTCGAGAAGAATATTCTTTAAGCTTATATGATGGTGGCATGATTCAAGGCACGTGTTCGATACAAAAACTTTAACACAAATTTGCTTTGAGAAACAAATCACTTATAATTCCCTAGAGTGCTTGATAATGATCAAAACAAAGTACAACMGCCCCAGCACGATCGCCGTTGCGTGCTTTCTCACCCAAAGCGTCGATTTTACATATAAAACAAATTTTATGACCCTTAGCATAGACGTTCGAATTCACAACGAACTTTTACTATGACATGACTAMATCAAGTTTGTTTTAAAATCCCATCTTTCTAAAAATGAACTTGTGCAAGAAGCATATCGTTTTATCTTCGTAAGCAATGATTAATATAAACGGAGATTTAAGAAAGAAGGGTGTAGAGAGACTAAAATGAGTATAATTAGCAGATGTGTTGAAAACACGGATAACGTGAAGAACATGACACAAGCTTACTTGGGCACGCAATAACAAGAAAATCAAAAACTTATCCATAAAACCAACGATCGCCCAATTATTCAAACATTTAATAAAACTAACTTACCATCTTCCTCGTCGTCGAAGTCGGGATTGGAATGCTCATGTTCAGCCATAGTTTTGTCGAGGTATAAAAATATGATAAGTTTATTCCTCCTTCGAGTTTTGCCAATGAATATTTGATGGTGAGCCTGTGGTATCTACTGGTCATCGGTTATCCAAATCAGAAGGAACGTTTGCACGTGAGGAAAAGATTTGTTGATAAAAACACAGAATTTAAAGCTTTTTTATAGCATTTTTAGACAAATTAAACTATTAGTGACACAGAGGAAAGATATTTTGTGGCATAAAGGATATTTATTGACGCAGAGATGCAGCACGACGAGGTAAATAGAATATTTTTTCATGCTTTTTGATAATCCAAAATGGCCGACGACATGTTGAAGATATGTTGTAATCTTACGCCTTGAAATAGAAATTCATTTGATCTTATACCTTTTCCTGTTTACTTTTTTGATCTTCTAGGTTATATGGCAAGTCATAAATCAAGGGTTCTGTTCGTTTAAAGTAAAGTAAGTGGATAGGATGTTGTCTAACACCTGTCTATATGCTAGATAAGGATAGCTTGTGTTTGTACAGGCTACCCAAAATAGCGCCAGACAAGCTTATGTCCAGATAATATCTTGCATCTGAAACCTTTAGAAATGTGATACATGTATAAACAGGAGTATATAGACTGATATGATTAGTTCATGGGAGGGGAGGGTGGGTAATAAAGGGTTAATAAAATCAGAGGAAAAGAATGGAGAGGCTTTTCATTATCTTTCTACAACATATGCAGTGCCATTGAATTTATATGAAGATATGGCACATTCTTTCTTTTAATTTGCTTTGATTATGACGATGGTGATATTAAATGATAATGATGACATCTTTTGATGATAATGACAGAGATGGAGGATGATATTAATATGATGATGATGAATCATTATAGTACTGGTGACAATGTTGATGATAAAGGAGATGATGATGATAATGATTAAACATTATACTACTGGTAATGGTGACGATGATGATGACGATGACAATGATGATGATGATGAAGTATGACACTGCTTTTGATAATGATGATTATTATTATCAATATTATACTACTTGTAATGATGATGATGATGATGATAAAGTATGACACTGCTATTGATAAATATGATGATAATTATTACTATTTAATAAAAACTAGTGATAAAATCTCCTGTGGGATATCGTTAACTTGGTGAAAATAACATGCAAACCTTATGGAAGTATTGATGATTTTTTATTTCCTTCAGAACTGAAACAAAGAAATTTTGTCGTAATGAGTACAATTCAACAGGCTTGTGTAATCGGCAGTCTTGCCCACTTGCTAATAGTAGATATGCTACTGTAAGAGAAAAAGATGGTAAGAATTCTAATGATCATTGTTGGATTTCACTGGACGTCATTTCCTGTCTAAAAGTTTTTCATAAAATTCTTCCTCAACACCACATGGTGGTCAGTATTTAGCCACCATTTGAAGTTGATTCCGAGATTCAAACAAAGACTTTTAGCTATTTGAATGCAAGCAATTTGATGATTACTCACAGAAAACAGAGAATGATTGGCAACTATTCACTTAGAATGCAGAGTATAATACCAAGGCCTTTTTTGGAATTCATAAAATACACTCATGTTCCTTGGGTTCGTTTACTCAGGGTTTTGGATGTATTTAGAAGCATAGCTTCATGATCTTTCAGCGTCAAAGCATTTCCAAATACTGACAGTAATTCCATTGACCTTCATTGGAGCACAAGAATATATATACAGTAACACAAAATTGAGACTTGAGTTTAAAAATGGGATATTATGTTATTTATATATCTAGAATTTGTTTGGGGGACTTGTTTCTACTGTGCTACATGCATTGTTACACTAGGAAGAGGAGGAGGGAGGGAGGGAGGGAAAAAGTGTTTTGTATGAACCTGAAGACGCATTTATTGTATCAATCTGAACATATTTTTGTGTTCTTGACTGTTTTAGGTGTTTGCTACTTGTATATTAAAACCATAGAAAGAGCACATTCTCCTGCCAAATTATGGGAAAAAATCAAACTTGTCAAGAACTACGAATCTGCATTAGCACAGATTGATAAACACCTTATGTACTGGCCAAATTTTAACATCCATAAATGTAAACAAAGATACACCAAGATTGTCCAAGTAAGAGTTTACTTAATATAAAATTATCTTGGGAGTAAACTAAATTGAGCTTTTTTATTATATAAGGTATACTGTAATACTGAATAACTTGAACACCATCCAATACGACAGGTATACCTTACTGAAGATGCAGACATTAAAACATATGTTGTTGTCATTTAAGGATACCTTTTTTTTACTTAAGGATACCTTTTTAACTACACGTTAAGTTTTCAACATACTACATGTACATACATTTTATGAGATTTTTTATTAATTATTATTAAAATCATTAACTTATCTATAAGACCAATTCTAATGTGTTAACCACTCCTTGGTTGATGGCTTGATGACCCAATTGATAAGGCAGCCAGTTAGCATGGGCACTGAAGATGGTTGTCACCAGCATCTTCAGTGGATCTTTTACGTCCGCCTTATACAGGGTTATAGAGTGAAGACAGATGGGGCCTACGGTTTTAAGTCCTTGTCCGAGAAGACTTGAAGGTCTAACCAATTGCAGATGTAATTACAAAGGCAGACCCTGAGTGTTGGTCTGGCCGAGGCTTGAACCAGGACCTTTGGCACAACAGACCGACGCTCTTACCAACTGAGCTAACAGGGTGGCAGTCAATAAAACCAATAGTTTATGTTTAGTTCTATTTCCAGTTACAGTTGAAACTCTTGTAACTGACCACCTGGGAAATATAAAAAGTGGTTGTATTGTAACTGGAAATGGTTGTGTACAAGAGTGGTCACAAGGAGAGCTTTGACCGTATTTAAAATGAACTATCTAACTTATGATTATTGTATTCTTTTGCAGTATTTAATACGCATGAGAAAACTCAGACTTAAAACAAGGTATTCAACCACGTTTAACCTATTTAGTATAAAGTATTTATGATAATGCATTAATGATTATTATTAATATCTCATGATTATTGATTTCAGTAAGAAACTTGTAACTGTTAATAAAAAAGTTGAACGACGAGAGACAAGAAGAGAGGTATGACATTGTATAATCGCACCTGTTAATTGGAATCAAGAATAGGACAGAGGTGGCAGAGCAACCTAAAAGGGGGCTAAGATAGAGATAGAGACTAGTATTGGAAAAAGTGGGGGGGGGGGGGGGGGGTCTTAAACCCCCCAGTTAAGAAAAGTTGGTACATTAATATTTTGGGGGGGGGGGGGGGGGTTGGGGGGGGGGGGGGGGGGGGGGGGGGGGGGGGGAGGGAGGCAAGAATGGAAAATATAAGAGACTAGTAGGGGGAAAGGGAAAAAGCACCCCTTCCACGGCCCATGTGGGATAGGTGCAGAGCAATTCCTTCCCACTAAACCTTACTCATGGTGTGACAATGTTTTCCCAATTGAATGTGACAAACCTCTAAGAGAATGAACAGCTATTGTTTTGAAACTCATCAAGATATCATTGTCATTCCTTTCGTATCCTTTGAGATACTCATGAATTTTTCAATCGTCATTCCTTTCGTATCCTTTGGGATACTCATGAATTTTTCGAAGAGTAAGAACAAAAGAAAATGAATCCTCTGGAGATTTGTTATGCCGAATTGGGAAATCATTGTCATACATGAATAAGGTTGGTTCCTGGACTCTGCATCACATTTGTGTGAAGTTTGTTAGTTCTCTCCCTTGTTTGAAGGGTTTTTCTCTGAGTTCTCCATTTTGCTTCCGATACAAATTCAGGATTGGATATATAGGATATTTGGATTTTGGATGTCTAGGTTTAATCTCCCTGGTTTAAATAAATTTTAATTGTAAATTGTAATTTTTTCCCCTCTTGTGTTAGGCAAAAGCATTGGTTGCTGCACAGTTGGATAATGCTATAGAAAAAGAACTACTGGACAGACTTAAACAAGGAACTGTAAGTATCTGGGTTACCTGTGGTTTTTCACAGGAAGCCCGACCTATGATACTCAGTGATGGCTCATTTGATTTGAATATTTTTAGCAATGTTTTCAAACCAATTATATTCTTTTAGTATGGAGATATATATAATATTGAAAAAGAAGCATTTGAAAATGCACTTGAAAAGATTGAAGTAGAATCAGAAGATGAAGAAGATAAGGAGGAGGAAGAAGAAGAAGAAGAAGAGGTATTTACGTAGCTATTTGTATTAATTAAAATTTGTATTTCAAAGGTTTGTTATATAAACCTTTTTATTTTGGGTGTAATATTTTCCCATTTCATTCAAAGTGGGTGTCATTCTCTTAAAAAAAAATTTTTTTTTTTGAGTCATATCCATATTTATGTCTCTTCTCATGCGCAACCGTTAAAGAAAGAAATAGTACTCAAGGGAATGACACATGGTCTGAAATAGGAAAATATTACACCCAAGGTATAGGGGTCTATTCTATGCTGTGTTTAGCAAATGACCAAGTACCTTGATTTATCATTCTTGATGCTGAAATACATTTATACACTTGGGTATTTCACTTTCCTGTTTCCGATCAACCTAGTCCTAAACAGGGATATACCCTAAAATCTATTTTTCTTACCATGTGTTGGGTCACTTAGGAATTATATTGTATGTCTGAGTCACATCAGAAAGGTATATGATCACATTGTGCTCTAAACAAATGACTATTACAAAGGTTTAACCAGGAATTCCAGGAAAAGGGGGGTTACCGTTACTAACAATGGTACTGTGAAATTTGAGTAAAAGGGGGGGGGGGGTGACTATTACAAAGGTTTTACCAGCAATTCCAGGAAAAGGGGGGTTACTGTTACCAACAATGTACTGTGAAATTTGAGCAAAAGAGGGGTGACTAGTTACCCCCTTTTACAATCCCTGGATCCACCCCTGAAGGGGTTAATGATGGGTGGTCTGTAATGGGAAAATATTACAAGGTTTTTATTCATTGTACCCTGTCCATGCCAAAAACCAGAGTTTTTCAAACTTTTATGAAATGGGCTGGTATAAGGAAGACAGAAAAAATAACCATTTTTTTACTAGGAGGAAGAACCAGAGTTTGTCGCTGAGGATGAAATTGAAGAAAGTGATTTAAGTGACATAGAGGTAATATATGAAATCCAGAAAGAAGACCTAACTTTCCATTCAGCAATTACATTTCAATTTTGTAATGTATTATCTTTTTGGTTCGTGAACTATGTCTGGGCTTTGTGGCTTGTGGTATAACAGGGAATATCCCACAAGGCACTTGTATTTTCTAGTAAACACATGAACCTTCAGGCCAGCGGGTTTCCTACAAAAATATAAGTGACATGTGGGATATTCCTTGGTGTTATAACAAGAAAGCATTGTAAAACGATTATTCCACACCAATCAGTGGAATACTATTAAATATACGGCAGCTTTCCTTTGAGGAAGTGCAGGGGGGATAGTGGTAAGATTGCTTGCTTCTCACCACTGACCCAGGTTTCGAGTTCCAGATTCAGTGTCGTATGTGAGTAGAGTAAGTTTCTTGTTAGTTCTTGTTCTCTCCTGATTGCTGGCAGGGTTTATATCTCGGCTCTGCGGTTTTCCTCTCTCCATAAATATCAACTTTTAAATTCCAATTTAATCATGGAACGAGGGCCACAGGTTTGTTAGCCACTGGCACTACCCTTTTGAAAACAATGACTGTTTAAATTTTTTTTCATTCTGATTCATTGTAGTTTCAGTAGAGTGAGATAAATTCTTGTCAAATTCAATTTCCTTTGACCATATATGGTTACAACAATATGGCTTCATTCATTCACATGAAACATCTTTTGGAATTTTTTTCCTCCAGGACTTTGAGGTTCAAAGTGAAAGTGAGGAAGAGGAAGAAGCTGAAGAGGAGAAAACATCTCCTTTGAAAAAGAGAAGAAAGGCTAGAGTAGAAATAGAATATGAAGAGGAAGTCAATACAAAGAGGACAAAACTTAAGACGTAGTTCTTGATTCCTCGTAAAAATAAAAATACCACATGGATGTCTATTTTTAGACTCGTGTGTAATAACATGTCATTATGCTGTAGTTGGTTTCATTCTGTTGGTGAAGACACAGCTAATATCTTATGTCAGCATAACTGCAGTGTATAAGTAATTCATAATAAATGTATAAATGTACATGACACATATTGTATCAGCACAAGTTACAGACCCCTTTCAACCCTTACAAACACTTTTTCCAATGGAATGTGTGTCATTTTGCTATAAATTGTCTATTGCTATAATGGAATAAAAAACGACCCACTATTTTCCTCTATTTATTACCAATTTTATTGGTATATGCTATTGTTTTCATTCTAAGTATTGTATTTTAATATAAGGTCAACTGCTTGTGCTAGGTTGTCAACTATATCTTGGATTCAAAGCTACTGTAACAGGAAATAATAAAATAAGCACTTTTTCCAATGGAATGTGTGTTATACATTTTGTTATACATTGTCTATTTTTTTGTATGCCTTGGATCTGAAATAAAGTTGAAAGAGTTCTATAGTGGGCACTGCCATAATGGAATAAAAAATGACCCACTATTTTCACCTATTTATTACCAATTTTATTGGTAAATGTTATTGTTTTCATTCTAAGTATTGTATTTTAATATTAGGTCAACTGCTTGTGCTAGGTTGTCTACAAATGCATCTGGTTTCACTGTAGGGTGATTTTCATCTGATATTCTGGAAACAAAAAACAAATATCTATTCACAAATTAAAAAATTTTTAACTTAAAATACATTATGTTCATCCATTCAAAATACAGACAGTAAACTAATGAAGATAACCAATTAACTATTTAAGGGGTTGTTTTCCTCTATTTATTTTTAATGATTTTCTCAAGTTAATTGACTCAAAAGTTATATAAGGAGAAAAACAGTCTTTAGATTTTTTTGTCACAGGAAATTCAATTTCTTTTCACAAGTAAAGGAAAAAAGGATGAATGTGACGAGTGTTTTGTCATACAATACCTGAATTTTCCAGTCCTGACTTGAACTCCCCTGATACCACAAGCCTGTGCTCCTCCAACATCATTCAAAATATCATCTCCAATCATTAAAGCCTGCAAATATTTTTTGAATTATTAGGGAATTAAAAATCAAACATGACAGGGTCTTTGATCCTAAGGTCGCATTATTCATACTTGGGAGGGGAGAGTGGGGGTAAATATGCAAAGTGAGAAGTCAACTCACCTCTTCTGTAGAAACTCCCATGGCTTCAAGAGCAGTCATGAAAAATGTCTTTGACGGCTTGCCAACTATTTCTGCTTTAACATCGCAAGCATACTGAAATATTAGAAGTAGTGCTGTTATTCTATGATGTAAATCACTATAATTCTGAAAATCAATAGCAAATGGTTTTTTTCTTTTTATGCCCGCTATATTTGCTATACAGGTACATGCCGCCAAACAGGGTATGGTTTTCAGTGATTCTACTCTGGAACAGGGTATATAAAATTGCACTCACTCTGGGACAGGGTATATGAAATCATGCTCTCTCCTCTCTGGAACAGGGTATCCATTTTTGCACTACCAGAACAGGGTATGATTTTCAGCGATCTTGCTTTGGAACAAGTTATGAATTTCAGCGATTTTACTCTGGAACAGGGTCAGGGTTCAGTGGGCTTAGAGGAACATACCTACCCTAAACAGGCAAGAGTACCCCCTGGGCTTTTATGACAAAAAGATACAAGAAACTTTGCATTGAAGTTTTGAAATGGTCCTTGAGAGTACCACTAAAAAAGTGGAGGAGGAGAGGGGATGGGGGAGCAAAATTGTACTGTCGCATTTAATTTAATAATCTAATCAAACTATAGCATGCCTCTAAAGCCTTTGTGAAGGGACCAACATCCAGCACCAATTCACCATCAGTTTTGTAATATTTTCTGCAAGAAAGGATTATATACCATACTTGAATAATATTTTGGAAATTTCATAATTTCTTTGCAGACCTTCAGATAAGGAATTAGTGATCTATAGAGCTGCATATACTTACCCATATCCCATAGAAAACAGAATGGGATCTTTCATTTCCAGCAGAGCTCTAAAAGCCTTGTTCATGTTCTCATAGTAAAATTCTTGAGCAGCGTCACCAATCACAACACAGTTAGGGTCATTACAGTTGATTCCATCAAAGTCAGGCCTACCCCCTGGGTGGATAAGCAGATGGGGTCGAAGATTTCTTTTCTCCAGAATAAACCTTGTTGCAGGTGCTGGTGCAAACAGTTCACTTGACAAAAGCTTATAGCCAAACTTGTTCAGCTTGGCCACTAGTTCTTCTCGGGTGCATTGCGTCTCATTTGTACAAAAACGTACATTCAGACCAGATGATTTTAGTCTAATTAACAAATAAGGAATATAGAAATATGTAGCTATTCAGGAATTGTATAAGTCCAGGGGGATGGAGACAGGCCACTTAATTTCGTGCAGAGGAAAAAGGGGAAAATTGTATAAATTTAWGTAAGGATGCAGAAGAAACGTTTCATGGAAGGGGTTATGAACGTAAAAGTGTAGAAAACCTTATTTTTATTCCTACGCCAGCCTCCTTATTTTTGTCAACAACAATGAGCCGACAGTTATAAAAAAGTCAAACAGAAATTAAATAAACCAACAATTTCTTTACCGTTGCACAGCATCAACAGATCCGGGTATCACTGTTCCTCCTCCCTGACCTGAATTATAGAGAACGCCAGAAATATCTAATAAGATACCACGGATCTTATTGTCCAGCCATTTTGGTCTTCCGTCCGCCATCTTGGATTAGTAAAAACCGAGAAGGACAGGTAACTAGCCCCAGTTCCCGATAAGGAAAGTGGGGCATATTATAATTATGTTATATTGGGGATGATGATGCTGCTCCGATCTCTGATATTTTGAGCCTATTTTACTTCCAAAAAGATTGCTTGATTGTCATTAATTTCTATTCTATCTGAACTGGTTATTTTGTCGTACGGTTTAAGGCCTATTTTCAAGGTCTGTTGATCGCCGATCGATGTTCTAGGAACGGGTGTTTACGTATCTGTTCAAACATTCCATCAAACATGCCGTACAGAGATGACTTTTCCCGTCTTTGTGGAGCAATCTTCTACAAGGACAAAGATGGTAACTGGGACCGTAAGCTGGCTATTTTAGACGAGGAAGAATGCCTGTTTCGATTTTTCAATCCTTATGCTTTTTGTCCGGTACGTAAAATAAGAATGATTTTCAAAATACCTTGTAATTGAAAGCTACCTGTACAGTAATCTCTATTTGATGTACATAACATTGCGTGAGAATGAACAGTTATTTCCGGCTTGAAAACCACCATTTGACAGAAGTTTTTTTTACGAATTTTACTTTTGCGAAAGCCTAAAATATTTTCCTTGACTCGTGACATTGTCTTGATTTTACTTTTGGTTTTGTAATATTTCCTTTACCGGTAATGGATGCATCTCGAAACGGTAAGCTAAAGAAGCACAAATTTCGGTTTTAACCCTAAAGTATAGTAACTGTTTGATGAAACCAGAAAGTAATTTAAAAACTTTTTGTTTGCTTTAATACAATCGCTCTTTTGTGATGATAATTTTGCATTTTACTAGTAAAAGAACACCCTTCCATTTATATTAATTTATCAATTAATTGTGATGTGTTCCAACCAAACACCTCAACTTCTATCTTTAAACTTATTCATATACAACTTATCGATATTTGATTTATCTAAAGTAATTGAAATTTTATATATTTGCTATTCTGCTAACACTGCATTTCAATCACTGAATCAAATAAAAATACTTTGCGTTATGCCAGTATGAATTTGTCAGGGCACAACACACCCAGAGGATAGCTGTTTATCTCCAGAATCTCTTATTCATATATATCTTCGTCATTATTTTTTTTCTTTTGAATCCAGAAAACTGAAAAACTGTGGAATTGTCCTGATGGAGAAATCAACACTAGACTCATAACAAAGGTAATAATTAATAACTTAAGTAATATTATTTAATATTTGTATAGTACAAGTATCTAAACACATGAGCAAATGCAATTAAAATAAAATACAACAAAAAATACAGCAGTGTACTATCCAGGAATCAGAAAGGAAGGCCAAGAAACTTCAGTACTTGAAGATTCTCTATGAATTGCAAAAAGGAAAGCCAGAAAACTTTGGCATTTAGAGGAACCTCTATGACTAACCAAAAAGAATGGGTGTGGTCATTTGTGCCCACCCCTAATTTGCCCCTGTAGTTGAAATACCATTGAGAAATGTGCATGTCACCTTAAGCTATGTGCAAGAACTCGAGGTTTGCATCACTCTTGCATTTAATATTGCTATCCCTTGTTATCAAACCTTTATTTTTTGTTTTTTTTTCATATTCATATTCTTTACATTTTTCCCTACTAATTAATCATATGTAATCTTATGCATGATCATTCATTAATGATGATAATGATATCAATTGTCAAAATTTTACAGTATTTAATACTTTTGAATCATTTGTTGACTTGCATACAATAGATAGAGAAGAAAGAGGACTCAGCAAGTGAAGAGTCAGTTTCCCAGTATTTTGGTAAGAAGGAAATGAACAATATTAATTAAGAAAAATCTTTTATCATTGAGTGACAAGTGTTGTTGTGGTTGTTGGTCTAGAGATCCAGATGTTTGATACCGCAAAGCATTTTCTGAAAGCAGAAACCGAAGAAGAGATCGATGAATGGATAAACAATCTACACAGAGTTGTTGTAAGTAGAAGCTTGAGATGATAAGATGTACCTAATGCCAAATTATTTTATCATTATATCAATTGGCTTGTAATGATTTTTGTTGAATTTTATGTCCTTTACAAGGTTGATCCTACAAGACGCCAAGAAGGTAAAATAAGAAGAACTATCAAAAACACCTTGCCGAGAGAAAGTGAGCAAAAGGCGCCAACATCAGAAGCTCAACTAGACCAGTCCCCTGAGCATATCAGTTATGAAACAAAGATCATAGGAGGAGTTGTCGTGAGAAGACCTGTTTCAAAGGTATTGAATTTTGCATTTATTTGTTGTTGTTTGGTTTGTTTACCTACCAATGTTATAATTATGGGAAGCATGGGTGGCGTAGCGGTGAGAGTTCTCGCCTCTCACCAATGCGACCCGGGTTCGAGTCCCTACAAGCTTGGTGTTGTATATGTATGTGAGTTGAGTTGTTTGTTGGTTCTCTCCTGTGCTTTGAGGCCAGGGTTCTCCGGGTTCTCCGGTTTTCCTCCCTCCGCAAAAACCAACTTCTAAATTCCCATTTGATCTTGGGCTTTCACCTAGCATGGATCTGAGGGTTCCGTTCGTGATTGTCCCACCAGCTCTGTGATTACAGAGAAAACTGATAGATTTTTAATATAGTAACTTTAACTACTTTATGTATAGAAAGTAGACTCAGATACAGAAAGTCTATCAGGAGGCTCCCACTTCCGTTCCATGTCAGGGGGGCCTGGCATCAAGACCATCAAGGAGGGATACATGTATAAAAAAGGAGCTGTTGTGAGTACAGACTGTTGACTGCATATTAAAATTAAATTCAAGTCACACCCTTTTGTAGTTTATCTTTCACTAAGTCACATAGTTGTTTTTTTTCCTGCAATACACCCAAACACCATGTCCATTAATTCACATCTACTGAACGTACCCGATTTGTATTTGAGGGCCCAGCATCATTTCAGATTAAAAAATCGCTAGAATAAAATATATTTTTTGTAATCTTTAACATATGACTTTTAAAACGATATATAGTTTTGTAGGCTTTTGTTGAAAGTGTTGCGTAGATCAATGGAGTTTTAAACGAAACATACCCCTGAAGGTCTCCAGTAACCTTAATTTTGAGTCCTTTTATTTCACTATATTTTTGCAGGTCAGAAACTGGAAGAAAAGATACTTCAGACTGGATAGGAATAAACTTGGGTATTATGAGAAAGATACGGTAAGTATATCTATATTCATCTTCATTTGAGAAGGGAATTATTTTTACTTGATTTATTATTATTGATGTTGTTTGCTGGCGTTTACTGCAGGACAAGGAGCCCATAAGGTCAATAGCAAACATTGATATAATGTTCGTACGAACTTGTGCAAGGTAAGGACAATGAAAACAAGATGTTTCTTGAAAATATTAATTTGGGCATATAGATAGTTTTATTATAAAAGTGATGACCAGAAGCCGAAATACTTTGATTGTAATTTTTTTACTGGATATTTTGATCACTGACTTATAGATAATGGTCATCAACAGCAAACATATTGTAAGCTAATCTTCAAGTTTATTCAATTAGTCCTCATATATTCAGATTACATTCGTTAAAAGTATCAATAAAAGTATTTTGCCTAGTGGATTAATTACAATCTGTTTGCTAATGAAAACAAATGAGATATGAATGAAAATATTTGTTTTATAAATTTCAGCAATGAAGGAAACAGAGAGAACTTGTTCGAAGTTATAACACCTTCAAGAACATTTACAATACAGGTAATTCAGACCCCCTTGAAGGGAAGGGTGGGGTCTTACATAACTCCCCCTTGAAGGGGAGGGTGGAGCCTAACATAAGTCCCCCTTAAAGGGGAGGGAGGGATCTAACGTAAGTGCCCCTTGAAGGGGAAGGTGGGGTCTAACATAAGTCCCTCTTGAAGGGGAGGGTGGGGTCTAACATAAGTCCCTCTTGAAGGGGAGGATTAGGAGAGGTTCATAGAAAAGGAATTGATATTTGCTGTAGATTTCCAAAACATGATAATTGCACAGAAGGCTGGGAGTCAGTATTATAATTTTCATAATAGTTGACAATATTTGTTTAATTTTCTGTTTGGTGTATTCCATAGGCAGACACTCAGGAAGAAATGGAGAGCTGGGTCAAAGAAATACAGAAGACTACAAATTCAATACAAGGAAGATCAAGTAGTGATCCGGTAGGGAATCGATACTATTGTAACACATTCCTTCTTTCAACACAGTGATAATGATAATAAGTGTGTTGGTTATTTCAGTGTTGTTATTAGGAATGAAGACTATACAATGATGATGATGATGTTAATGGTGGTAGTAAAGGAATTTAATGTAAAGTAAAAGTACTAACAGTGGTGTAAAAATATAAAAAAAGATAACAGCATGACTAATTCCATAAATTATTAATACTACTGTAAGCTAATAAAATAAGGATAATGATGCTTATTCAATAGTAAAATTAGAGAATATACTAGGCATAATACTGAGTGGTTAAATAATGTAACTTAATTATGCAGCTTCTCATTAATCCCATATAGGTAACTGTCCAATTATTTTCTTAATTGGACAGGTCTTGTTGATATGGGATTAATTAGGCAGCTATATAATTAATAGGTAATGGGATTTCATGCTCCCCAATCAAGAAATAATTAGACTCGAAAAATTTTCCTCGTCCAATTATTTCTTAATTGAACAGCGCATGGAGTCCTATTACATATACTTATTGATATGGCATTAAAAAAATCTGGCTGATGACATCATGGGCATCAGATGACATCATGGGCATAAGATGATATCATGACTATCTGATGACATCATGACTATCTGATGACATCATGACTATCTGATGACATCATGGCTATTTCAAAAAATCATGGTTATCTGATGACATCATGGTTATCTGATGACATTATGGTTACATGATGACATCATGGTTACTCGATGACATCATGGTTACATGATGACATCATAGTTATCTGATGACATCATGGCTATCTGATGACATCATAGCTACCTGATGACATCATGACTATCTGATGGCATCATGACTATCTGATGACATTATGGTTATCTGATGACATCATGGTTATCTGATGACATCATGACTCTGATGACATCATGGTTATCTGATGACATCATAGCTACCTGATGACATCATGACTATCTGATGACATCATGGTTATCTGATGACATCATGGTTATCATACCAATTAACATACCAGCTCCTGCATGCTACCAAGTAGCATTTGCAAGTAGCAAAAGGCATAGGGAAGGCTTGTAGAGTGATGTGTGCAAGAATAGGCTTGACTTGTATGACACCACCTTACAAATGCACTCAACTTGATGACCTTTCCTGCTGATTTCTTCATTCATTGGCAGTAATATCAATAATGTTGTATTTAGAGTTATAACCAATCATAATGGCAACTAATTTGCTTACTCAACTTTCAGCTGTGACCAGGTCATATTGAGATTAATATGTAATGTAAGTATTGCATTATCTTGAAATAGTACCATTAATGCTTCTTTATTGGCCACTTTAGAAACGAGCAAGGGAGTAGGTCAACTATTAACCAATGATGGGGCTACCAGTAGAAAAAATGACACAGGGAACCCAACCATCAAGGATTACCTTTTAGGGAAAAATTGATAATATTAATTCTAGTAATTTTCCGTGTTTACCTTAAATTATCATCACACCTAATCAGCAGTATCATGTATTCACGCATTAGTATGCACCATGCATTTTCTAACACATATTTAACGTTGGGATACAATTTTATATTGATAGTCTACTTTGTAATTTCGAGTTTTAACACTTTTAACATAACTTAATTTTTTTTACCAGTATCATGAAACCCTGATCTTGTTTTAAGCTACGCTTGCGCTACTATTGATTTCCATGAAAACCAAAAAGATCAACATTATTTAGGGTATATATTCCATGTCAGAATGCCATTACAAACATCGTGGCGGATGATGATAAATAAAACTTTAACTTACATATGAACACCTATGCATGCCAAAATTAACAATCGAAAAACAAGACGTCTAAGTATTTTGTATAAAAAGTTCATTTGCAAACTGGTATAGCGAGCGACGCGTGGAGGTCCGCTGGAAGGTCCGCGGGAAGGTTCGCGGGAAGAGGTTTGTAGTGGGGTGAGCAAGCGCGTTTTGGCGGGAAGAAATTGCTAGTGGGGGTGTGCACGCGCGTTTTGGCAAAAAGAAAACTGCCCTTGAGGAAATGTGATTATTTTAACAATCGAACAATTGTCAGCAGTTGCAAAACCAGGTTTTTTTTTTTAAAAAAAGGCGATACAAAGTTGCTCAACTTTGAAAATTTTAAAGTCGCAACTGAACCAGTTTTTATTTGCACACTTTTCTACAGGGTTCTTATCATCCTGTTTTTCGATCGTTCCTTTATTCTCGAGTTTTCGTTATTCTTTTCTTTCTCTGTCTTATTAATGGGTTGGAGTTTGTGAACAAGAGAAAAAAACGTTTTCTACAACAAACACAAACAAGAGAATATGAAGTAAGCTTACATAATATTCTCTTGACACAAACCAACAAACAAACAAACAAACATAAGAAATGGAGCAACCTGTTCGATCTTTTGATAGTTGAGCCCACTAATATTTACAAAGCTCAAGAAATTCCAACCAGCTAAAGTCATTAAAGTAATCAGTATTTTAAACTATGAGTAAAAAAGGTTAATTTTTATTACTTACAGGAAACTGCTTCTACGACTACAACAACAGTGACTGACAATAAAAGATGCTTGTCTGTGAGCTACTATTCAACTACTGCTGTTTAACAACGTTTAAAATGCCAATGCAAAACCTAACAAGTATTGGGAGTTCTACAATCTGTTTTGCTTAGATCATAGTAGTATATCTTAGTAAAACTAGATCTAATTTTCGTTTGTGGGTTTTCCTAATAACCTGTGAGATGAAAGTATAGGTAGTTTAAGCTAAACTTCATTGTAGTATCAAGGTATCGGCTGCCTTCACTTTCTTTTATATATATAAAGGAGTGTGAGAGAAAGAGAGAGGAAAAGAGAGAGTCGTATAAAGAAAAAGAATTGCAAACTATAAAGAAGGAATGATAGAGAGGGAAAACGACAGGCACTAAGCAGAGAAAAAAATTGACGTTTAAAGAAATAATATTTGAATATTGCGAAAAGGCGCTTGTAAACGATGGAGTCCAGCTTTCTCGGCTAAATATTTCATTGCTAGAAATTGGTTAAATGAGCCTTACGTAAAGATAGTTTATTCAGTAGTTATATATCTTTATCATGAACTACTTGTGGCTGTGTCCAAGCAGCGTGTTTTTGCTTATCGTCCTTGTTTCGTATTTTTTTCATGATACACAGCCTAAACGTATAAGTTGTTTAGTAAAGAAATGCTATTAGAGAGAAAGGTTTTTCATGGAGAGAGATGTGGTCTATAGTTGTGACATCAGAAAAGACTCAAAGCCTAGAAAATCATGGGTTTGGAAGTAGAGGCGAGAATAAAGGATGGCAGGAAAAGTCTCTTCTTTACCTGGTTTTCTTCATCCAATGTCATATTCATCCCATTCCACTTCAAGTCCATCCATCCACGTCCTCCACTTGTATATGAAGGGTAAAAGTGGACAAAAGGAAGAAATACTGAGCATCGGGGTACACATATTTGTATGGAAGTTGGTATAACAGTAATAATCTTTCTATGACATTTTTCTTGAAATCTCCCTCGTCGGTCTTCCCCTACGTTATTAATATAAGTGACCATATCCTTGACCACTGAAGCCATTACAAAATTATGAAAAACGAGTTCACGAGCGTCCAAGTGGAAAATTCTCCACAAAGTAGTCATTTATAGTGGAAAAGGTTTAATATTTTTTACTTTTTTATGCAAAATAAATGTGACTTGTTTTTACTAGTGTAGTGTTTATCACTACTTAATGTGTATGTTCGTTTCTACTTGTTTATACTGTGTTAAATAATGTCCCTTAATTGTCACTTGTTCATCAAATGTAGCCTTTTAAAAAGGTCTTCTCATTCAAATACTTTCAGTTTTTGACTATACTAAAGAGTACAAAGGTTTTGTACTTCGCTAGACAATGGAAATTTGTGGTATACAAGCAATATTTGCTCTACAACTTGCAAAGCGACGATATTGCTGGGTTTTGCTGCCCGTATAAGAGTGCATACCATATCCGTAAAAAAGTGAAATAACTAAATTGTACAAATCAGTGCAAAGTTTCGTAGTTCTACAGTCTACTAAGGTCTACCGAACTTACTAATTTGCGTAAATTTGTACAACTTCTTACAAAGTTTTTCATGGACATATGGTACGCATTCACAAACCTGGTTTCTTGCGCATGCGTGTTGAGGTGTACGCCGCGTGCGCGAAGACTTTGCATCTGCCACGACATTGCTTCTCTTGTCTTGCAGTTCAATTATTTTATGAAAAGTGGCAGAACCGTGAGTTACTCGTAGAATCAAAGTCATAAAGATCATATTTTCTGAGGAATTTACTCGCTGAACTAACAGGTTTGGATTCTCTGGATTCCCCTTATTACGTCTAAATACATGCACCTCTACCTAGATTCCTTTTTAGCAGTTCTTTGTTATTAAGCCAGCGCTGGATTGCACACAATGTTGCACGCAATCGATGTTGCAGGCCCTTATGTCAAACGACCTAATTTGTTGGACGCAATTTGTTGGATGTAATGTTGCTGAAATAGAAAACGATCCGACATAAGCAACATTGCCTGAAAATTGCGCGCGTGTGCACCGTGCGTTTACACCTTTATCCTAAGTAGCATCATTATTTTGCGACCATCGGAGAAGTTATTTGAATAACAAAAAGAATTCAAAGAAGATTCTGGTATTATTGGTATAGGAGTTGGAGCAAGGCGCTACTTGGACCATGCGTACCACGACTGAAGACTATATTCGAGTGTTGATGTTTCAGGCGAACCAGTATACGGAAAAATGAACCTTTGATGTAGAAAACTTACAATTAAAATTTAAATATTGAGTATTAATAAATGAGCAGTTTTTCTTTATTACGTAACTAAGAACTGCGAAAATCTGTTGATGACTTTTGTAATGTTTGACTATGGAAAGATGTTATTCCTCTCGTGTTTTCAGCCCTCACATTGTCGTGGAAAATCTCTTACCAATTGCACATGAAGTCTTAAATTAATGTTACCGTATTAAATATATGGCTTAAGCATTTTCCCCCCTCACCAAGTCAAAGAATTTAATTTGAAACCAAAGTGCCTGACAATATGAAACCTGGGGGCATTTTTTTTGATTCAAATCTGAAACAATTATTCCAGGGATGCCAACGTATGCCTTTGAATTATTTAGTAATTCTTTTGTACTCTCTAGCTAATAGTAATACTTAAAAAACTGTTTGTGCTTCAAAATATTTGCCCATGCCAAGAAAATTGATTTTTCCCTCATGTATTTTTAATCATTAGTATTTAACGGTGTGTTCGTGATTAGTATTAAGCCTGTCTGGATTGGTGGGTCAACGAAAAAGATTGGATGTTTGGACCTAATGTTATGTATTGTCTAAAACACTCTCAAACGAGCCGTCCTGCGGCTCAAAAATTTAAAGAGTAGCCTGCTTCAATTTGCTCATTTTAAAAGTCTGTTTAATTTTTTAATAAAAAACGAATTCAAAAGATGACTAAAAAATCTGATATTTTATAAAATCTCAATCCGAAGAAACTCTTCTCAAAGATCTTATCCGGACCATAATTCCTTGCGAGCGTAGTCAAATAATTTTACTCAAAAAACGCTTTCAATACGGTTTTTTCTACTTTATTTTGTTTCTTTTCTCTCCTCGTTTTTAATTTTCTCCCTTATACTCACTGCTTTAAATACTTCATAATTCTGTCGAGACTGTTATCGTAATTTTTAATAGATGTTTATTAATATTGACATTCCCGATGGTTGCCAAGACGTAAACATGGTGGATGGACCAATATATTATAAAACGTTTGAGGAAAAAATATTTTACCCCTTTTTTAAAGCATTTATTCTTTATTCCTGATTTCTACCGGACCTTTTAGAGTCAGTTATCTTATCAGTTAAGCGAGAATTATTCATTCTTAACTCGACGAATATAAAATTTACTTTGTTCTATCGATCGTCGTCACCTCGCATAAAGCAAAACGAAACGCTGTCAAACATGGACCAAAACGAGAATTTTCATTTGTTTTGTTTTAGCTTTAATTGGACTTCATTAAGCCTCGTTGAGTACCGAATCATGAAAATTACTACAGATTAACAAGTGAATTATGTTTAATTGTGAGAAGGCGTTAAAAACCAAACAAAAGAGATGCGTAGGAATACTTTTTCATTACAGAATATGGGCACGAAGACTCAACGTATTCTCTATGAAACAAGCTTGGAATTTCCTCGTGAAATCAAAGAATTCTTTAGCAAGAACTGATATGGATACACGAAATTAAACACGGAGCATTCCTGACTGAATTGGTAAGGCTATTAATATTATTTTTTATAAATTTAAGAAACAAAAACTGAAGAATAAGTACATTCTTCAACTCTCTATTTTTTAGTGTCCTGTATTCGGTCAAATACTCAGTTCATATATTCAACTAAAGTTTAATGCACATAAGTTTTGTAGTTAATATAGTGTAAGATTTTTTTATAAGTTTGATACGGTGTTCTTCGTTTCCTTAAAATGATGAAAAGAAATGAAAACAGAAATGGCGCTTTAGGAAAGCTCGTTGTTATATAACGCAAGAAAAAAACGCTACCCCAAGCCAAAGATAACGATGTATTTCATCCTCCAGGACATCGGGTACCGGTTCTAAACCTAATCTAACCTAGTACGTTTTGTCTGTATATGATGTAATCCAAACTATGTAGCACTAGTTTGGGGGCTGCCGGGATGGTTTTTCTCTCGGTGACAGTGTCAATCTGGGCTCCAAACCTATCACTTACCCCGCCGTGAATGAGCTTGACACAGACTACCGTACCTACCCCCCTACCCAAACCCCCCCCCC